TAGTAGAGTAGTAGTAGTAGGAGTAGGAGTGGTAGTGGTAGTGGTAGTGGTAGTAGTAGTAGTAGTAGTAGTAGTAGTAGTAGTTGCATTAGTAGCAGTAGTAGCAGTAGTAGCAGTAGTAGCAGTAGTAGTAAGTAGTAACAGAGTACATAGTAGTAGTAGTAGTAGTAGTAGTAGTAGTAGTAGTAGTAGTAGTAGTAGTAGTATGGTGGTAGTAGTGGTGGTAGTAGTAGTAGTAGTAGCAGTAGTAGTAGTGGTAATCGCAGTAGTCGTAGTAGTAGTGAGTAGTCGTCGTCGTTGTAAGTTAGTGGTGCTGCAGCAGCTGCAGCAGCAGCCACAGCAGCAGCCGCAGCCGCAGCCCACGCCGCCGCCGCCGCCAGAAGCAACCAGCACCAGCAGCAGCAGCACCAGCAGCAGCAGCAGCAGCAGCAGCAGCAGGCGCAACTAGAACAAACAACAACAACTACGACTACAACTGTTGCCAAACTGCTACTGTCCATGCTGCTGCTGCCTTATTTAACTTCTTGCCATTCCCTTTCTTGCCATAGCGATAGGCAACAATGTCATTGTTTTCGTCAATATCAACCGCATCTGGGTCATCGACTTGTTTGTCGTCGTCATTGACATCACTCTCTATCTTTTTGAGTTTTGTGTAAGTTGAATAGCCATTGCCGTCTGCATTACCATCAGAGTCGTCGAAATTGTCGGATCTGATCTGTGCAGCAGATGTGTGATGTCACACCGAGAAGTCCTCACGACGGGGCGGCAGTGAGATTGCCAGGTGCTCAGATTAATTTATCCCTCTCCGCACTTGGCAACGTCATCAATGCCTTGACCGAGCGGGCTTCTGGAGGCTTCGCTTACACAAGCATGTCTTGCAATCGGATAGACTCGTGTTTGAATTTCGTGCAGCAGAGAAGTGCAAAAACAACCAAGTCAGGATGCTTTGCAGACTTGTGTGCAATACGGTTCGTCATGGATCGGAGGCACAGGGCGTGCAGTCTTCGTCTTGTTCAACCGCCTCAGGTTGAGACTTAGAAAGGGCATCAAGCTCTTGGTATGCAAGGCATCGTAAGGCCTCGTCGCAGCAGCATACTTGATGAGCGCAGGCCGTCACATTCCCTACAGGGACTCCAAGCTGACGCGCATGTTGCAAGACTCGCTCGGTGGCAACTCGTATACCGACTCTTGGCTGCTTTGAGGTTCGCTTTACCAGGAGAGGATGTGTACTCAGTCTATTCGCAGTATGGTGGTGACATGCAGTCCCGTGTTTTCACCGGAGAGCAGCTGAAAGCACTTGACTTTGTGATGACGGACGCCCAGGTGATGATTTGTAACGTGTCTCCTGCGAAAATCAATGTGGATGAGACTCTGTCGAGTTTGCGCTTTGCCGAGCGCGCCAAGAAGATCGAGAACAAGGCGATGCAGCACATGACGCTTTTTTGGGGCCCCCCTCCGCACCACCTTTGGCGATAAGTTCTGTATCTGACCAGAGTCTTTTGTGGACATGCTAAATCTAACCGCTAGAGCGAGAGCCGCCTCGGAGCCAGTTCGGAGTCCGGCTGTGCTTGTCCGCAGCTGAGTTCAGTCGTTGAAACGTCTGAAACAGGCGGTGGTGAATCGCGACCCAAAGGGTGAGCGAATCCTGGAGCTGCTGCAGGAGAACAAGGCAAGCTGGGGATTGCCATACAGAATACGATTTGCCATGCTAGATGGCTAGAGCTGGGAGGGTTTGTTGGTACCGTGGCAGCTTTGTTTTAAGCTGGCCAGTGGTGCTTTGTGTAATACACTTGCGAACACCATTCGTATCCATTCGTTTGGTATCCAGCCATGATTTGAGAATGTTGACCGACATGTTCAACATGGTACCATTGTGTTCCAAAAACTCTATCCTAACCCTTAAACCCTGCACCCGAAACCCAAGAAGTTGCCAGTTCCGTGTGGCTGGGCCCGGCAGGCCCTTCGGGCGAAGATTGCTCGCTTGGAGGCGCACGTTGATCGAGCCTCTGCTGACCATGTGGTTTGGGTTGGTGATGTGCGTCGTTACAAGCTGGACGGACATGTTCTTCTTCTTCTTCAGCAGCAGTAGTCATTGCCATAGCCGTCAACAGTCTCAGAAGTCACCACGGAATGGATGTCAGAAACAGCGCCATGCTCGTACATATCAAATCGCGCACAGCAGTCTTAGCAGTATGGAGCTAGTTCGATAACACAAGCTTGCTGTAGTGTTTGCAACATTCGTTAGAATGATGCTCACATGATGCTCACATTCGCCGTATCACCGCAATCATACTTCAATGTGACCAGAAGCAGCACAACTATTACAGCAACAATCGGAACAGATACAGCACTCATCCCGATCACTATGCTTCTCTGTTGTTTCTTCACCGTCATAGTTCTCATCGCCGTCGTCGTCGTCATCATCGTAGTAGTCATCATCATCATCATCATCACCATCATCATCATCATCCACTGCCTGGGGTTGGTCGCATCTAAGGTCTCGAAATGCACTACGACAAGTAAGCGGGTGTGTGTCCCTTCGACGTTTTCCCATATTCGCTCGCGGTCAGCAAGAACCACGGGCATCTGCTTCAGCATGTACCAGAATTCCAAGAGCACGGGCGAGCCAAAAGCTCCCGGAGCCGGGTGCCGTGTCAGAGAAACTAGGTGTTCTTGGAGGTTCATGGGTAGTTAGAAGTGGGGTTATAAGTCCCTAATTTGGGTTATAAGTACAGTTACCCTACTTATAACCCCATTCATAACTACCCATGAACCCCCTACTTGTGTGGCCTCTTCTCCCCGACGGTGCCTCCAAGATCGGGCCCTCAGCCGTGTCTGAGCCGGCCTTCTGGATAATGAACTCTCGGTCCTCTATGGATCGGAGATCGAGGCCCCTGGAGGCTCTAACTTCTCAGTTGGACCAGCAGCTTCTCGTCACCCACCGACATTCGCGCCAGGATGCTTCAAAATGACAGTTCTGTGAGATCGAATGCTCTCGTATGTGGCTTGATCTGCCCTTATGGAAGATCCATCGCCACTTCTCGTCGCGTGCCTAGGCGTCTTTCTGTCACATGTACTTGGGGACTGCAGGAGACAGAGCGGACTCCTGAACGCGAACCTGAACGGTCACGACGCTGCCTTCTTGCCCCGTGTCCGCTTCGCCGAGGCAGGGGGGTTGCGGTACGTTGCGGTGCGGCGGGCATTGCTTGGCTTTCAGCTTAGCTCTTCAGGTGGACTGTGCGGAGGACAAGGTGCTCTGCAACCGGGAGCAGGCCGTGCGATGTCACGTGGGCCCACGTTGTGTTCTCTCTCCTGAGCTGGAGGCGCTAATTTGCTCGTGGCTCTGCGTGCTGTAGCATTCTGTAGCCACGTGAGATGCGACATCCTTTCTGCGTGACCTTTTTGAGTCTTGCCTCTGCTGGATTTCTGGAGTGTGACTGGGATGCAGACTGGAGCAGCTTCCGGGAGAAGCTGGGTCAGAACGCAGATGCTGGCTACCCCGAAGATGCCATGCTGGCGGAACAAGCCCGATCACTGTTAGAGCTCCACTGGGAGGCCTTGCAGCCCAATGCGGAGGCACTCTATGGCATGTCCTATGCGATGCAAAGCTTTTTTGCCAGCTGCAACACTCGCCCTGGGGTGGTCGAAGAGTTGCGGGAGCCCTTCTGCCTCTACGGGGTGGTGTCGGCCCTGTGGGTGTCGGCGCGGCATGGCCATCCTGAGAAAAAGCAGTTGCTCCGCCACGCCCAATTCCTCCTGGGAAACCTCTTTCGCAGCACTTTGGACTTCATGGAGGGCTCGGGCTGGGCCTTAACTTCACTGGACATCTTGGCCAACTTGGAGCAGAAGCAGTTCTCCCTGCCGCAGCACTTGCGCCGCCAGTATCCGGTTCCGAGGCAGGTTCCTGGAGATCCTCCCGGAGAACCTGTCCTCACGGTCTGGGAGATGGGGGTTCACGCCACGCTGTCTGCGGAGCCGCTGCAGATGTGGGCGCGAGTTTTAAGAGATGTTCGCCTCCGGCACCGCAACCTGATACGAGACCAGTATCCCAAGTGGCTCCCAAATCGCTGTGCCACGCTCTATCAGCATCCGCGTCTGGTGTGTGACGAGGTGCAGGATGACCTCACGGATTTCTTTAGAAAACGAGTTCCACACAGTGCCACTTCCAAGGATCCCATCGAAAACATGGAGTCGTTCGAGTTGGACTTTCGTCGCATTGCTTCTGGTCGCCTGCGGAATGTGGGCCTCTTTCTCTGCACCGTGGCGTATCTCTGCCTGCTTTTGGAGTCTTTGGACGTCCCAACAGTCGGGTACTTCGGGCATCCTCTGCTCTTCATGGTGCCCGAGGACGCGGCGACGCGCGAGGCCTTCTGGAGCCGCTTCTCCGCCATGGCCAGGACAGGAGGGGTACCCTAAACCCTAAACCCTAAACCCTAAATCCTAAACCCTAAACCCTAAACCCTAAACCCTAAACCCTAAACCCTAAACCCTAAGAGACGAAGAGGCTCAGAGGCTGAGGGTTTGAAGTTTCATTTAGGGGCCGAGTTTCGGGGTTTTTTCGGCACTGCAGGGCCCGGTCCGTGGAGTTCGCGGTGAGTGATCCCTTCCTGCAGATGCAGTACGAGTATCAGATCGGTGCGCCGCGCCTGCCTGCCATCCGCACCCATGCCCTCTACACTGGTGCGACGCACTTTCCGAGCCGTCCGGATGAGGTGTTGGTTTTAGATCGGCCCCACGAGTCCGTGCTCATGTGCCTCCTTCGGCACAGCATGGCCGAGTTGACGGGAGCAACGCCAGCATCGAGCCCTGACGACTGGCCAACGGCAGAGGCGAGCTTCTGGGAATCAGAAGCAGACACCCATCAAGACTCATGACCTCCGGTTGTAGGGGTCGCCACTGGGTGCAGGGACTCCAGTTGAGTAGGGTCGTTTTCGAGGCACGTCACATGAAGCCTGTCCCGCGAACTCGCACATGCAAAGGCCCGGGGCCAGCCTCAGACTTTGTACGATGCTAGACCAGCCTTAGGAGGGCTACTTTTGTGACGAAAAGATTTGTAAACCCTAGACCGCCAGGGACGCCTGCGAGCAGCCATCAGCCATGACTTTCCGTTCCGCTTTGTGACAAGAGCCCTGACCGATAAGCAATTCAGCACGTTTGCACAGTTTCGGGCAGTGGTGCTGTGGCCATATGATATGGACTTGATCACATTCTACGAGTTCTACAGCATGAACATGCCGATCTTCATGCCCTCCTCTCTGCAAAAGTATGTCTTCCAGCAAGACCATGGCGCCTACGACTATCGCTGGGATCGCAGGAAGCTCAAGCCTGGGCAGATGCAGTTGTGGCCAGACACTGGCGAGACTCGACTGAGCCAGGCAAAAGTACCGAATCCGATCATCGTGCATTGTGGTTGGGTTTTAGGAAAAGATACCCGTAGCCTGTGTTTCCGGAGATCGATAGAGTGAAAGCCGAGGTGACGCCTTTTCAGGAGAGATCGCTGGAAGCAGTGCATCAAATTCTGCCCTTTACCGACTACTTCCGCTTCCCTCATGTGCTGTACTTCGAGTCCATACCAGACCTGTTGAAAAGGCCCCCAGACGACAGCACTTGTGAAGTCACTAGTGTGTTCCTGACCGGAGTTCAAGTCGTGGTTGGCATGCGGTGCTTCTGCGATCGTTTGCTCAGGCTGCCAGAGACAGACTTTTTTGGCGTCACGCAAGCCATGGTGCGACTCTCAGATCAGAAGTTGTCGTGAGTTCCATGCACCGCAGCTAGACGTCGTCTTATCCAAGGCAGCATTCAATCAGGATGCACTGATGCAGACGTCCGCTACTTGGCGGACATTGCTGGGGCGCCTCAACGTTCCCGCATCGCTGCAAAGAGAAGCCTTGTGAGCCTGAGCCATGCCGCTGGCGTGTCTTCCTAAAAGCAGATTGGATACCACGGGCTTCGTCGCTTGACCTTCCCTGATCTTCTGCCATTCTGCGAGACATGTTCCTTCTGCATCGGTCCTTTGCGGGAGACATTTCCGAATCGAAGCCGTTCAAGGCCGGTGCCAACCGCCAACTCAAAGCGCACGCGAACATCCCCTGTCCTGGAACAGCCACCGACCCTCTGGCTCCGATTGCTAAGTGTCGGTCAGATGCAGCACGAGATGTTGGAAGGCAGATGAAGGCAGCCTGCTTGACCGTGGCACATCCTTCGTCCTGACCTACGGGGCTAGGTTGCTGGCAGACAAACATCTCCGCACATCCTTCGTCTGTTCGTCGAATTGGAAGGGGATGAAGGCTGATTGGCTTATTGTCTTCTTCTCTGTGCAGCAGACATCGGACGGTCTTCTTTTGGCTGTTCTAGCTGATTGGATGAGGTTCACGAGCATGATGACCTCGTCTGCCGTCGTAAGAAAAGCTTCGGGTGGGTCCTTCAGCAATTTGTCTTAACCAGCTCCTCCCCAAAGACGCAGAAAAAGAGGTGTTCAGGGAGGTGCAGTGGGCAGTGGTGGACGCTGGAGTTTTTACGGAAGCGCAGCTCGGATTCGGTCTCAGGGCTCCGGAAGTGGCCTGCGAGCATCCGGTTGCTAGGTGGAGACCTACCCGACAGTCCTGCGCTTGGTGCGTGGACAGCGGGCGCAGGTAGCGGAGCGGCATCGCTTCGAAGAGGTCTTCGAAAAATGACTCCTGCCTTCGCCCTGGCAAGGCCTGGGAAAGCAACCTGGGTCGCTCGCAGCAGCGCCTGCAGAAGGCTTCTCAGACCTCATAACTTGTTCAATCCGATGGAGCACTTTTGCCAGGAGCTGGCAGAATGGATGCGAACACATCCAGGAGCGGCTGCATGGATTGTCCCGTACTATCGGCACAAGTTGCCGTTGGCAGGAAGTGCAAAACCTCGGCTCCAGTCGCAGGCTGTAAGTTGTGGTGTCGTCACTGTGGGGGGGAACACCTCGACCGGTCGGCGCAGGCTCAGGAGCTCCGCGAGGAAACGAGCGTGGACCCCGTAAGCTGGCGGCTTAGACGATGCCTTTTTGTGCTCGCGTGCTTCAGTGATTTCTGGGGTTCTCAGGAGCCGCGGTTGACTCAGCTGCTGGTTCCTCAGGAAGCTGTCGGAGCCGCATGACTTCAGGAACTTGGAGCTTAGGTCACCGTCGTGCTTTTGGTTGCCTTCGTGAGGATGTGTCTCGACATCGCACGGCCAACGGCCCAGAGTACTTGGAGGTTCATGGGTAGTCATAAGTGGGGTTATAAGTCCTCTAATATGGGTTATAAGTATAGTTACCCCACTCATAACCCCATTTATAACTACCCATGAACCCTAAACCCTAAACCCTAAACCCTATAACCCTTATAGTAACCCCATTGATAACTACCCATGAACCCCCAAGTAGCCCAGAGTCCATAAAAAACCGGGAGAGGCGACGAGCCGAGTCCGAGGTCGGCCCGGCGAGCCTTGCAAGCTCCGACGACCGAGGCCCTTTTGGAAGCCCCTTGGGGGCATTCCGGGGGCCCCGCGCGCCTCTCTCCGTGTCTGAGCTGAAGAGTTCGGAGCAGGCAAATGCAAAGAGCCCGAAGGCGGCTGCCTACCAGGCCTCCGGTTGATGTGCGACTTGTGCACAAGGAAGTCCCAAAGGAATGCGTGGCTGATGTCCGCTGCGGAGCTGCACGTCATCATGATCGCAAGCGTTTTGGCTCCAGGGCTGGCTTTTGACAAGTGACTCTGCAGTTCGTACACCTGCAGGCCGTGTCACCTTCGAATCGATGCTTGAAGCTTGTATTGGGAGTTGTGCGCCTGAGCAGGTTCCTTTGCCCCTCATGGCTCGTGCCCGCACCCCTCTCACTGCTGTCCTGGCCCTCGTGCCTTGCTTTATAACTCTGCAGATTCTGCGCTACCGCGAGAGCCTTTGGCCATTCCGAGGTGGTGGCCGCCGTCGTGCTTCGTCGCCTCAGCCCGGACTTCGTCCCGCCGCCCCAGGCGGTCGCGCGCATTGAGCTTGACCAGGACGGAGCTTGGCGTTTGCGTTTTTGCGTTCCGACGCGCGCTGCGCGCTGCCATGCGCTGGGTTCCCGCTGCCCGGCAGGCCACCGGGGCCGTGGTGGCTGCCGGCCTGGCGGCCGTCTCCGCTCCTCAGCCGGCCCTGGCTGCTCGCGCCTCGGACGAGGACGACGAGGCGCGCAAAGGAGGAGGGAGTTCCAAAGACCTCCGAAGAAAAGTTGTCCAGCCCTGAAGGGCTTCGATATCCGCATCCTGGCCGTGCTGGCATTGCCACTCTTTGCCATTTCCTGGGCCCTCTTCAATGTGGCTGGGCCGCAAGTTCGTTATTCTGTGTGCTCTGCCTCCTTGCGGGGGGGGGGGGGGGGGAGCAGACTCGACGCAGCGACTGAGAGATTCAGAAGCAGAGCGAGAGACGTACGAGGAACGCTGTAAGATGTGTTGGGTAGAGGGGCAGGCAGGAATAGGGACGAGGCAGCTGATCGGAAGTAGCAAAGGCTGGACGAGTCGGGGGTGCACGGAAAGAAGCTTGAAGAAGCTTCATGAACAGATCAAGGAGAACAGCAAAGCTCAAAGGAGAAGAAGCCTACTCGTCTACTGATGATGTCAGAGCATGTGTCGAAGGCATACAGTGTACTCATCGCGATCGGGTGCCGTCAAAGAATCCAGGTGTGGCGTGTTGCCTTCCGGCAAGTGGTGCGCATCGGCGAGAGTGCCAAGGATGCTTGCCTTGGAACATCGCGTCACCTCCAAAGCAAGTCAAGCTATGTATCCATCTAGCTGTCTCATCTCCCGACGGTATGCAATGTGAATGTATTAAGCCGCATAGTACCCTGTAGGCATACAGCAGACATGTATATATGTATACGTGTGTGTAT